CGGGGGGCAGGGGGAGCTCAGTAAATCTGCGCAGGTCAGTAGATCAGAGGCTGTGCAGGAGACAGAGGTGTGTTTAGTGACTGATTAGCAGATAAACTGTCAAGTGCTGTGAATTGTGACAGGTCCCAAGCGCAGCTTTTAACATTCAGATGAAGGAGATTACATTGGGACAAAGAGAATCTTTTCAGCAGCATTTAGTGTAACATGAGAGCCTGCAGGAAGCTTGTTCCACTCTTTCCCTGCACAATAGCAGAGGAATGTAGCAATTTACTTAACAAGCTAGCGGGGTGTTCCTGACTGGATGCCTCATCATCACCTATTGGTATTTTGTAACTCGGAGCCTCGGTCACAGATTGGGTGGCTGTGCCAGCACGTATTTTGAGTGACGGAGCCACAGCAGAGGGATTCAAGAGCCACGTGCGGCTCCGGGGCCGTGGGTTGCCGACCCCTGGGCTATTGTATCATTCTAAACTGTTTGTCTGGGTACTGTGTTCCAGGCCTTGCTCCAGAAAGAGTTTCCAAAGATGGTACTGTGAGATTTTGTCCCACTGGAGTACTTCAAGGTTCTACCTTGTCTCCCTTTCTCTCTTAACGTGTATCTGAAGCTGCTGGAGGCACTCCAGCACTGTCACACCCAATCCTGCGAGGCATCGATAAAAATTCTCTGCTTGCACTTGTTTTCTCTGGCCTTTTCGTAAGAGAGGTTTTTTGAGCTGCTGAACTGAAATGGTTTTCATTACTTTCCTCCATATATTTGCTGGAGGTTTTTATTTAGGGAACAAAATGTTTCAGTGTTTAACTGGCTTTTAGTAATGGTTGATTTTATTTATTTAAAGCTTTTATATACCATCCCGTTACTTGCGTCTCAGGACAATTTACTGTTATGTCCCACGGTTTTACAGATGAGATTAGAGACCAGTTGGTATTTTTAAGAGAAGGTTTTTTATTTCCTATAGGGACGACACTCTCCCACAAGGACGGGATGGGTGCCGCGCCCTTTAGAGGGACAACGGAGTATTTATACCTTGTTACAAACAAAGGGAGAATTGTTTTTGACAGCCTACGCAAGCGAGCTGGCATGATACAGAGGCGAGACGGTTTTGCGGTTAGTCCATATTTTGATACAAAAGCGGAGCGGCTTGCAGCTAGCCTATCCTTTGAAGAACACTCTGTATCTGCCTGGGGCCGCTTTCAAGTCTTCTATTGTGCTCTATTGTGCTGACCCCAATACACAACTGATAGCCTCCTGCCAGGTGGGTGGGGCTCAATATTTACAACAAACAGAAATGAAATAAGATAAAAATGGTACAGCATCCAGTGATAAATATAAAAACCACAATTAAGACCCATCAACAATTAAAATAATGGGAAAATAAAAAGGTTTTCACCTGGTGCCGAAAATAAAAAAGTGTTGGCGCCAGGCAAAACTCTCTGTAGGTAAGAATATTCTTTTATTATATGATTTGTGTTTGAGGTTGTTTTGCATGCTGCCCTGGGAGGATTTTAGTTACTGTAGCTCAGCCTTCCCCACCTGGATGCCATCCAGATGTCGTGGACCAGAACTCCCAACATCCCTCCCCATTGGCTATGCTGGCTGATGCCGATTCAAATTGGAGCCTAGAACACCTGCAAGGCACCGAGTTGGGAAGGTTGCTGTAGCTTTAAAACACCTGTATCAGAAAGCCAAATTAATTCCCACTCTCTGATTATCCTGCTCTCCTGTTAGATACTGCTGGTACAAAGGAAATAAAACATCTAGGACAGCGTCATAATGCAACTCTGGTAGGCAGCAGTGAGCAAATTGTTCTATTAAATGACAAATAGCTTATGAATTTCAATCCCTTTAACTATTTTGCACAGTTACAAAAGCAGTCCAGCTGGCAGGAAAATATTAAAAACCCCGGAATACAAAGTAGCATATTTGTTGTATGAAGCAACATGTCAAAATGTACACAGCAGCCCTTTCCCCCTTTTTTTAAAAGTAGCACAGCCAGATAACACGGGCAGTTGGCTTACTTAATGCATTTATTTGCAGAAAACATTATGCGTGCCTCCCTTAAGCAAATAGAGTATCCTGAAAAACTCATTGGCTGGGTTGGGATGGAGGAAGAAATGACAATGACCCTGCCAAGAAGAAAGGCAGCAGTGTTTTTAGCTTTCTAGTTTGCTTTTGAAAGCCCAGGGGGTTGTGTGGGGGAGATGGGGGGGGGGGGGCTTACTGGTAAACTAGAGGGGTGACAGGAGGGCTCAGATAACCATATTTTCAGAACATGTGCAGTTATAACACACAAGAGTAAAAAAAGAGCAACCATGAAGTGCCCATGCAGCCATCCATGCTGGATCAAGTCTGCACACAGCCTTAGAAAATGTGGTTGTTATTCTCATCAGTATTACTATCATAGCATGTCACCTTATCTCCAGGCATCAGTTTAATTACTTTGAAAAGCTGATTACCTATTACAAATTCAACGATGGGAGCAGAAATCCTTGCAATGATTTCAACCCTTCTGGAAGGCTTCTTCAGATCAGCAGGAAACTATTCTCTGCATTCAAGTTTACAAGACTTCCTCAATTTGACAAAATGAAACTTCATGTACTGTGTTTGGCCATTCCAAGTTTGTCTACCAATGAAACACCCAGGCATTTTATGTATCTTATAGATAACGGATTCCTTGTTCTGTCTGTTCATTCCTTTGTGACTTGTAGAAAATACAACATTCTGGAATACCAACAGTATTTGGAGGGCTAATCTGCTCATCCTGGTCTCCTTTAACAACAGTGCCATTTTTGTCAAGTTCAACTCAGTTTTATTTCCAAACTGGCTATAGGTCTTTACAGAAAAAACAAAGATACAGTATGTAAAATGATGACTTGAATCTTACAAACTGATACAACATAGTATGTGCAAAGGCTTGGTTGACCGAAGAAGTTATCACAGCAGGCAGAGCAGGAATTCTCAGGAGCTTTCAATACAAACACCACCAGATTTAGAGAAAAACTAACGAGTATGCAGTTGATGAATAATGCATCTGAACATCTAACAAGCAACATTCTTTTCAAAATCAGACCAAAAGAGAAGCCAGTGGAGGATTTCTTGCTGATATGTGGGTGGGACATGAAAAGCTTTTGTCAAGTGCTTATGCATGTCTAACATGTCTCACTACTCTTAAAGAATGATATTGCGCGGAGTTGACTTTCAGTGCAACTGAGGACTAAGTCATTGGACTGAGGAGTATGGAATAACTTCCCGTACCAGGCACCGTCCCCTGCTTCAGACCTCCCAGTTTCATATCCTCACATGGCAGAGTGAGATAACCTTGCCTTGCGACCCTTATGTACACAATTTTCAGTTCCTTCAGCTTGGCCAAGGATAGTATTACAGAACAATCTTTTTCAGCAGAGGACAAATGCAATTTGAGGCAAACTTTTAGGATCTGCATTCTGATGGTTGGGGGGAACAAGGACAATGGGGGCAGGTTCAAAGGTGGAAGGCCTAGAGTGCGGTAAGCACCAAACTTGTGCCAGGCCCCACAACCTGGACCTTAATGACACATTTTACCATTTTTGTCTATACTCAAACACTTGACTTAAACCCGTGTAACCATAGCACAATTAAATGTCCATGTTCAGGTGGACACGCAACTAATTTCATTAAACACTTAGTGTCAAAATGGCGGAAAGTAATTTAGAATTAAGCCACAGCAGAGACAGCATGATTTAATTATGTTCCCACGTCTTCCACTCTTATCCAATTGCAGTGCAGTGCTGGCCCTGTTTTTAAAGCTGTGGCAGTTTGGAAACATTCATTTTGATAATTGCTAACAAACCTAGTGAGCAACACACTATAAAGCTCACTATAAGCGACATGTGATGAGATAGTGGAGTGTTTCAGGTAGGAACACTGGCAGCTACACACACGCTTGGGTTATTTGTCAGTCTAGCTCAGCAGTGTTCATTTGGTCAGCAGTGGGGAGGCTGTCCACTCTCAAAAAGGGTCTATATATATATGGGGGTGGGGAGGCCGACAGACAGACACGGACTCTTTGCAGAGGCCAAGGACCGAACCTGCGACTCTGCATGCAGAGCCCATGCTCTGCCACTGAGCCATCTTGCCTCTCAAAGCCCAGCCACGGAAATGAGCCTTGAAGACCCCTGACTTGCACATGCAACTTTTCCATGCTGCGATTGCCTCCCTGCCTTCCTGATTTGAGGGACAACATCATATGCCCTTTGTCTCACCCGGCAAAAGATGGTTTGTCCTTGCCTTCCAAACCAGCTTCAGTTTAAGGTTTCTGTTCCCAGTTTGCCATCTGCCTACATTTTCCAGGTAGGCAGGTGACAATTATGGAATGTCACAGGAGGGGGAAAGCGGTGTGGCATCGGCAAGAAAAGGATAAAAATGAACAAAGATTTGCACAATATTTGTATCTGCTGGATTTATATCTATAGAGGCACATTCAGACATTATCATCATCATTTGAATGTAACATATTTCATCCTAGTGGGGAAGACTATGACCAGGTGACCTCTTGGTCTGCTGTTCAGGTGCAATTTCAAACCCCCTCTTGCTCTCCCTTCTTTGTTTGTAAACTAGACTTGGACTATACAATCCAGAGGAAGATCTTCTGTAAAGTAGGACACAAGGTTAACCTAGAAAAGAGGAAGGAGCATGCAAACCCAGTGTCCTTCATGGCTCATTCACATAGTCCCTCATGGTTTGAGCATCTGTGCTACGCCACTGTTAATTTTAACCTTGTAATACAGAAGTGGGCAACCTGTGACCTTTCAGATGTTTTGGCCAACAACTCCCATTGCTCTTCTTGGCTATGCAGCTAAGGCTGATGGGGTTGTAGGCAAAAACAGCTGGAGGGTCACAAGTTGCCTACCCCTGCTGTAATGACTAGAAGAGTCACCATTAACTGCCCTTAATTTCACAAATCTGCTTGAAAGTATAACAGTGAAAGCAACGAACACAAAGTCTTATAAAAGAACGATCTAATTTATTGTCCACTAATCTCTAGGTAGCCAGCAGTCTCTTTGGTAATAGTAGAAGCCCTTTCTGTAGACTTGGTGGTCACCAGTAGCTTGTAAATTGCAGCTCTGTATTTCTTTGAGGCGAAGTTGTAAAGAATGGGGTTGATACTAGCACTCAAGTAGAAAAGTTGTAATGCAAAAATATTAAAATATTGGGAGAAATACATCATGTTGGAATTCGTGGGGTTGATGTATATCATCCGACCGATGTGGAAGGGCAGCCAGCAAATTACAAAAGCCAGAACCAACACAACTGCAAAAGGGAGAAAGGAGGAAAAACAATTACTTTTTACCTTGGTGCAGTTGACCAATGTCTTGTTGCAGAGTAGGGTTTTCAGGAGCACTTGAGTGGGGAGGTTGTATACTTCATTTAAATGTTTGGGTAGCCCTTGCACCGGCAAAATGTAGTGAAATTGTCCAACAGGATGGAAAGTACTGTTTCCTGGGAAGGACAGGAGAGCCAGTGTAGCACAGTTGTTAAGAGTCCTGGACTGGGACTCAGGAGATCCAGGTTCTGGTCCCCGCTTGGCTATGAAGTCCACTGAGTGACTACGGCCAATCACTGGATCTCACAACAACCTCACTGGGTTGTTGTGAGGATAAATTTGACAGGAGGAGGACAGTATAAGCCACCATGGGTTCCTTGCAAGAACGAAAAAGCGGAATATAAATAATAGCAATTTGCTTGGGAAGTTACTATTTCTGAGATACCAAAGCTGGGTGGGTGGTTAGAAGTCCTAGGTTAGCCACCAGGGTCAGCTTCTCACAGACTTCTCATGGTGAAAAGAGATGGCTTTTTATACCGGGTTCCACTTAACTGGTAACAAAAGCACTTGAAGGTGCTTCTTTAAATGGATGTGGATGGTTTTTGGCTACTGGTTATAAACTACTGGACATGCTCCTCATTCCTAGATAGGGCTGTAGAGAAAGAGTGGCATGTGTGGAAATATAATCAGTGAGGGATACACTACACAATGCCTTCACTGTTTGAGGTATAGCCGAGCCTCGTCATTTTGTTCCCTTGTGTTAGTGTGCGGGGAACCAAGCAAGATCTGGACCACTGTGCATGGATTGGCAGTTGGGGTGTGGGGGAGGTTAACTCTTCCCACACAGCTGGTTTTTTAATTGAATTCAACCCCACCTTCAGGCAGAGGCTAAAGGAAAAAAACTCCATCGGTGCCAATTAGGCAGGCAGAAGACAGAATCTTTGCATCTAGGAAGGGGTCTAGGCATGGCATCGGTTGGGCCATATTCAGATAAATACCTCTGAAACATGGATGCAACCTGAGGGGTTAGTAGGACCTGCTGAGTGTTTGCCTGCTGCCCATGCTCACTTTTTATATATGTAAATGGATACGACAAAAGCTCTGGTTCTCACTTGTGGCCCTAGAACATCCCACAATCTGAGAAAATGGGGTGTTCCAAGCAATTACTGTGAGTCTCCTGGGGCTTTAGTTGCTATGCAAAGTGTCCCCGTCGGCATCTAGATTTCTTCTTCAGGACTGTGGTGGGTGCTTATTTTCCAGGAGCGCTCTGTGTCAAAGTCCCTTGCAGCTCTCCAGGCCACATAGCGGCTCTTTGCTGCCCATCCAATATGAACAGGTCTGACAGGTGGCCCAGGCAGTGTGCCCTAAGAATGGACTGAGTACCCTTTGGCACTGGGATGAACTTGGCTTTGTATTTGGATTTCATAGCACAGAGGTGGAGAACCGGTGGCCCATGGGCCATTTCTCGGCTTCCCCAGATGGCCGCACCCCTTCCCTTGGCCCCACCCTCTTTCTCCGACCACCACTTGTTTTTTCCTCACCTTTTGCCTGGACCTTCCTCCCTTTCTAAAAGCTTTGATGCCTCCTAAGGCTTAGTGTCAGGAGGAGCTTTAAGGGGAAATACGCTGGTGCTTGTGGTACTTTTAGTTCCACCCCTTTTATCTGTGGCCCCACCTGCCACTGGAACATGAGCCCCAAGCACTTCTCCAAAGTGGAATTGGACTCTTGAGCTGAAGAAGGTTTTGCACCCTCTGCCATTGCTGCCATGCTGGCTATTCTGGAGGCTGAGGGAAGTTCCAGGGTGATGGCAAGAGATGAGGGAAGACTGGTCATGAGGGAAGGAAGAGCATGCTCCCTCCCCCATCATACGATGGCTTTCACTTACCTAACATGCGCAAAGTTTGCTGGTGGTTCCGGTACGATGCCCCCCCAAGATGTGCCTTACTGGCCCGCAGAAGCTCCCTAGCGATTAAGCCATGGAGAATGTAGAGACAGAGACAGGGCAGCACGAAGTAGAGAGTGGTGACCCCGAGCATGGTGCCCAGCAGTCCCGTCTCTTGGGCATACGTGGTGGGGCCACACTCACGTCTGAAGCCGCCATCGCTGGAGATGTTGCCGACCTGCTGGACGCCCACGAGGAACAGGAAGGGTGCAGCGGAGAGTGACGCCACGGTCCAGAGCACCAGCAGCAGGGCCTTCACGCGTCGCTGCGTCACCAGCAGCTTGGCCCGCAGCGGGAAGCAGATGGCGATATAGCGCTCGGCGGTCAGTGCCGTCAGGTGCAGGATGGAGCAGTAGGCACACGCCTCGCCAGACCAGTGCCATACCTGGCACAGCATCGTCCCCAGCACCCAGCGGTCAGGGCGCCAGAGCCGGTACAAGTCGAGTGGCAGCCCCAGGAGGAGCAGCAGCAGGTCGGAGACAGCCAAGCTGCCCAGGTAGAGACTGGTGGTGTTGCGCAGCTCTCGGGAGTAGCTTGTCACCACCACGGTCAACACGTTGCCACCCACACCGAGGACCAGTAAAGCCAGGCAGACGGCAGTCACTGGGATGAGCAAGCGCAGGGGCAGCAAAGGGCACAGGTACTCGTTGCAGGATGGCAGCATCCATGCTTCCGTGTTCTGCTCTTGACATGCGGACAGGCTGCTGATGTTGCTCGAACCCATGCCGCAGGCAGCACTGCAGACTGCCTCCCTGTTGCTGTTACAGAACACCCGGAGCGGCTGCGGGCATGACAGAATCTGATCGGTCCTGTATGTAAGGCGTCAGCACCGGGTTTCAGCTGCTCTCAGGCATTCCTTTCCGAGCTCTGCCTTTTGCTCTGGGCTGGAAGATGTAGTGTCTGTGCTCCAGTCCTAGACTGATGGAAACACATAACCCTGAAAAGATAACTCCTCCCAAGTTGCTTTAGCACCAGCTCTTGACAGAGCCTTATATCTTTGCAAGAGGTGGGGCTTTTGTGAAGCAATTAAACCCCACCACTTCCACCAAAAAAAAAAAAAAGGCTGCTGATGCAGAGGTGATTAAAGCCATACACACCATGGGTAACTAAGATAAAGAGTCTTGTGGCCCCTGAAAGACTCATTTCCTACAGCCTACACTTGGTTAAGTAGAGTCAACTTCATCAGATATATGAGGTGTTGTCCTCAGTTGGCTGCTGACCGCCAGACAGGAAGAGGGAGCTGACAAACAATAGGGCCAAATATGAGAAATACAGTACGGGTCAAGATAAATACAGTGTGCACAAGATAAGCACAACTACCATTCACAAGAGCAATCGCCATCACCACCGATAACACACAACATATCTTTGATGTGCGCATTCACAGCTATTGTATTAGGTGTGTGTGCTTGGTCTGTTTTCAGGCGAACATTCTTTTATCTTATGTACAATGTTGTATTTATAAGGTTTTGATTTATGAAGGTATAGAGATGTAATAAATGAAATAGAACCATATGTATCACAAGATACCATTGCCTTGATTCAGGCTTAAAGCAATAGAATCAAACTTCTTGGCAAGTTCTGACTCTTCACTTTCATGCTGGAGACACTCGCTGCAGACATGCAGCAACTCTGAGGTCAATCAGCCTTGGAAATGTTCTCCCACTGGTTTCTGATAATTGCCATATTTATGTCCAGCTCAGTCCCTTGTGCAGAGGCACGCCTGGTCAACCTAAGCACATGATCGCGGGGCTTGCATCAGAAGGTGGCCCAGTGAATGAGCCCTGAAGGTGTGATAAGGTCCTGCGCTAGTGTTGCCTTGTAGGAGGACAGAACAGGCATTTGGGGTTGCTGCAGCATCCAGTCTCTGCGTTTCCATCTGTTATCTGACCCATTGTGGCTGCTGCGTATGTGTGCCTGTGCAGGGGGCTACTTGTGGCTGCCATCTCAGATGGCAGTGATCACTGGAAGCAAAAGCCCCTGTTCTCAGCTTGCCAATTTGATTATGGGGACAGACCCATATATCTAACCATAGGGTGCCTTGCTAAGCTTAGCTGTCCTGGTCCCCAGTCTATTTCCTATTCCTAAATCTTTTCCACAGAAGCCATTGGTGCTAATGCAATGGCACTTTGCTAGCTTAATTGTCATGCAGGGAGCTAGAGAAGAAAAGACTGACTCTCCCCTTTGCACACACTGCAATTCCCCTTTACAAGAACTCTCTCCCTGCATGGCCAGACTTACAAAAACGCTTTCCATTGGTGTGGGCTGGTCTGAGGCAGAGTGCAAAATAATTGAATAATTCATCTTGTTTGAGACTGCTTGAATGAGAAAAGAATTTTTTGTCTTTGCCTCCTGTGAAATGGAAATAAATTGTAGGAATGCTTTCTATATTTTGATATAGAGATGCTGTGGATGGGAGTGCCCTAATTCCCAGCAGCATAGGCATGGAAAAAAAATCTCAGACTGAACATCACTGCAGCAACAAGGGCTTCTACTACCTCCTGTGCCCAACTCAGCCTGAGCCAGAGGACCCTTAGACCATGCTGGAAACAAGGGCCCAAACTCTCACCCTCTGAGTCAAAGCACTAGCCCTGAAACCTTCAACAGTAGCAATAACCAAGACAAAAGCTCTAGACTGTGTCTCAAGAGCAATTGGAATGAGCGCACACATTGATCTGGAGTAGGCTGTAAGTTTATTTACTGAAAGGGAGAAGAGATATCATACAAAGAACCAGAGCAAGGTTTGGAAACAGTACTTATAGGGCAAAACAACAAAAGCGATGTAAGCTGCCTGTAAGTATCACAGCCCTCATCTTTCTTAGAACTGGGTCTCCAAGAGCTGGCTGTCCAAACCAGACAATGGAAAGGGCAAACCAAAACCAGACAAAGACATCTTTTTGCCCACTAGTTTTGTTCCCCCAAAGCTTGTAGCAAATCTGAGGTGATCTCTATGAGCCAATCATGAGCTAGCTGGAAACAATCTACCCAGGTTTTTGGGTGGCTCAGGGACAGAAGGTTCCCACTTACTCAGCTGAACCAGCCAGGAATGATATAGGATATCACACACACATATAATGCATAGCTGCAGCCCCAGACCGAATGGAAGCCTTACAGGTTGCTAAAACTCAAGAAAAATGATTTAGGATCCTATATGCATTTTACACAGATTTCTGTCCTATGGACCCAACACCCAAATCTGTAAATTCCTAGCAATGACCCTCTTTATTGACCTTGCACCCACTAAAAAGAAAGTACACACCATGAACAATTATTCAAGCAATCCCTTAGTGTTCTAAGGTAGCCACTAATGCATTGCCAAAAAAGGAGGAAACATAGCACCAAGAGGGCAAAAAGTGTGTGTGTGTGTGTGCAAATCCAGAGGTAATTACAACAATTTAAATGCAATAAAACACCCTAGTGGAGAAGTTTGTGAGCAGCTGGCCTGTGTGCCCTCATAATCTGCTGTTCAGGTACAATTGCAAAGCCCCTGTACCTTTCCCTTCTTGTGGATCTTTATGTTTAAAGGAGAACTGGGCTGGACCTTCAAAATGGAGGGCAGTCCATTTTCAGACAGAGGACTGTCTTCTGTAAAGTAGGATACAGAGTCTTCCTTAACAGCTCCAGTCCCTTGGTTCCCCACAAATTAATATTCACTTAAAATATCAGCATTTTGGCACTTAAAAGACATGAGAGAGATTCAGTGACCACTAAAGCATTAGTCTTATTAGCAAGAAATATTTAGATCTCTTTTGGAAGCTACTGGAAATGATATAATTATCTCATTAACTGGGTTTCCTAGACAGATTTGTGTTGATTAGCTGAGGTGAAATATCTCAAATACTTGGCAAGGTTCTTAATGTAATTTTAGTATGCTTAGTGTCTTAATAATAAGATTATGGTTAAAGGATGGGAAAATAATATTCAAAGCTGTCTGTGGGAAGGAAGCAGTAAATCAAATAATACATTTTAATAAAATAATGCATGTTTGCTATTGTATACTGTGAGGTCATATTTAAATTTTATAATTTTGATAAGGAGTGCTTCATTCTACTTCACCAAAAAGTGTGTGTGTGTTCATGTACATATGTGTGAGTGCATATGGCAAAGGAAACCCTCTAAACACTTCATGGAGAACAAATCCAGAAAATCTTGCCTCGTTTTGACCCAGAGGAATCATGAAAAGCTGCAACCCAGATCAGTTAACAAGTGGCAGGGAGAGGGTGCCTCTCTGTATACCTGCCAGCTGGTTGGTTAATATATAAAGTGGCCTGGTCAACTCGCTTTTTGCTGCTTCTTAGGAGGTGGTGGGAGCAGCAGCAAAAAGCATGCCTAGGGTGCAGAATGCAGCTTGGAGGAGGTGATGTGGATGACAAGTGAGAAACACCTCCCTCTGCACCACCAAACTTTGACCCAGATGTCCTTAGAGCAGGGGTCTCAAACTCAACTTACCTGGGGGCCGCTGGAAGTAGAGGCTGGGTGAGGCTGGGCGGCATCAAGTATTCCACCACCGCGGTGGTGGTGGGCCGCTCATTTCGCGGCCGGCCCAGGTGCCGCCGGCGCTTTGAAGGCTGCAGGGCCCCTCCCCATCCCGGCAACTGGCCCACGGGCCGCGGGTTTGAGACCCCTGCCTTAGAGTTATATTCACTCACTGAAAGAAAAACCCTTTGGAAAAATGTAACTCAGCATTATGCGTTGAAGTCAGCCTGATTTGATTCTGCATAAACATGCTTTGGATTCTGCTAAAGGTCTGGACCGTTAATAAAATGATTCAGATGCCAAAGTGTCCACACCAGCTTTGGGAGTTGAGCAAGGAAAGAAAGTTTCTTCAGAAGAACCAAGAGATGCCACCACAGCTGCATTTCTTGAAATGAAGACCTGTTGTTGAAAGGAAGGGATTGGGTGGCTGTCCAGAAATGGTAGCACACACCAGAAGAAAGACTGCTCAGCTAAGCTTTACTTTGACTACAAGAATTCATCTTTTGTTGAAGAGGAAAATTCCAAGAGATCCAAAGTCCGGGGAATGCATGGCTTTCCTGATGTGGTTGGATCTGCAACTACCATCAGCCCTAGGCAGCACAGCCAAGGAGGAACACTGGGAGCTGCAGTCTGGAAGACCACACCAAACCTGCTGTAACACAACTTTCCCCAACTTGGTACTCTCCAGATGTGTTGATGTACAACTCCCACCATCCCCAGACAGCACAGCCATGCTTATTGGCATCGATGGGAGTTGTAATCCACACACCTAGAGGGCACCAATTTGGGAAAGGCTGGTGTATAGCACAAAACAAATATAACTAGTCTGGATATAAGTGAGGGTATAGTAGATAAATTTTAACAGACTGCATCATGTTTGATTAAATCAATAATATCTTTTAAAATGCTTCACGGAGTCCTAAAGTGAACAAGAAGCCAGTAAAGCTCCTTCAAAGATACCTCGTCTGATTAGTCCTGCCTCTTCACCCTCCACTTCGGTATCAGTGCAAGGTTTTGCCCTACATGCATCTCTTCACATTCACTTACACATTTTCTTACTCTTTTGCCATTTATTACTGGCTCAGCAATGATCACATAATTTTGGAGCTCTTCGGAGTCTGCCATTCATTTCCCCCAAAGTATTGACCATCTCTATGTGGTGCCAGATCATTGATAAATAAATTAAATAGCACTGGTGCAATGCAGACCTTTGCATTGGAGAAAAGCTGGAATAACACCACTGCAACT